GATATACAGTAATTTGTAATTAGTGTAATACAGCTATTTACTAATTAGTAAATAATTTGTTTGTGCTAAATTGATTGCAGAACTTAGATTATTTGAGTATTTTGTGACTTGTACTGTGTAGATTTAATTAAATCAGTTTAGGAAATGATATGTTGTTATACAAAAAACATCCTAGTGAAAATTTTTGGGACAAAATAAAGAGAAATAAAAAAGAAATAAAATTTTATAATAAAGAAAGAGAGTAAGAGTTATTTTAGAGTATAATTTAGTTAATATTAGGGTTATAGGTTTTGTTTAAACTTTGTTTTGATCAGAAAAGTATGTTAAATAATTTTTATTAGAAGTGTAGAGTTAGTTGTAAAGGTGGTTTTTTAGAAATAGTTAAAAGTTTAGTTAATTATAGTTAAAAAACAGTTTTTTGTTTTTTTGTAATGAGTTTAAGAGGTAATAATGTAAGGTTTTAGTAATATATGTAAAATTTTATTGCGAACAACTTTGCTTAAGACACCAGAGTTTGTTCACATAATAAACTTTTGAGATATTAGTAGTTTTATGTGAGCGAACTTTAGATTAAATTTTGTGTAAGTGATTGATAGAAAGAGTTGTATTGAATTAATCACTAGTACCTTCATTTTACATATAAAAACTTAAAATATAATTATTATATCTATAAACCAACTGCCTATAATGATGACCCTCAAGTTAATATTGATAATTAAGAATTCATCAACATTGTTTCAAGTAATAATCAGAAAATAGATATTAGCAACCAAGATACAATCTTGTACCAAATCTGAAAGCAAGAAATTTTTAACTTGTTAGATGCAACAAAACAAATTATTGAAAAAAACATGATGAACCCTAATGGTAACAAATGACTCAAAAGTATTAATAAAAATTTTAAACCATTATGTAAATTGAAGGTGGATTATAATCATTTTAAAAGACAACAAAATATTCTAAATACTTAGAAAAACCATAATCATAATACTTTCTGGTTGTAATAAATATGAAGTTTTTATTCAAATAAATAAATTAATTGATATTGCTTATCATTATTATTTCATTAGTTTTTGATTTTGCAATTGTAAAGGTTAATTTTTTTGATTATATTTTTTATTCAAGTTACACAAATTTTTGGAATGTAATCTATTTGTTACATGACAGTTAAAATTTTTTTGGGTGATGATTTAGGAAAAGCTATGAACACAACTTCATATGATATACTATTTATCAGTACAGCAAGATTGACCAATAAGTGCCTTGATTATTTTAATATAACTAATCAATTATCAATGTGTTATGTAAATTGACTATTCATGCATTATGTAAATTGACTGTCTATATGATTAACATGTATAAATTGATTATCTAGGTAACTTCAAATATTTAGAATACTGTGTCTTCTGCTTTTGATATCCACCAACATCAACTTTACTTTAAAAGACATTATAAATATAAGCAATTTTGAAAATACAAGTGACTTGAATAATGTGTTGGACAGCAGCGATAATACATTTAGTTCAACTTTAAAAGATATTAGCAAGCATGCTTTTAAGAAAGAAAGCATTAGGTCTACTGAGAAAGTACCTAGTACAAAAAGTGAAAATTATGTAGTTCTTTGTAAGAAAAAAATTAAAATAGTAACTTTTATAATAATAGTATTAGAACTTTATATAATTAAAAATGCTACTAGTTTATAGTGAAAAATATATTTTTTTACTAAACTTTTTTTAAGTCTTAATGAGAATTGTAGAGACAGTTATTCTAGTTCCAATAACTATTAGACTTAGTTTATGTATCATGTAAAATATTAGAATTTTTCATAACTATAAGATCAGAATTTTAGTATTCTGAATTTTTATATCATTCAATTATGAACAACTCTTTAATATATTGTAGTTATTATAACTAATATATTTTTTTTTTATCAGCTTTGATAATGGTTGGGCAATATCATGATACAAAAAGGAATATTCTTAATACTGCTCAAAAGAATGCCAAAAATCTAGGTTTTGCTATAATAATCAAAAGTAGTAGCTCTCATCATATAAACCTTCAATGCAAACATAATAACAAACTCTAAAATAATTAAAATTTAATTGTAGATACTCAAAAAAAAAAAAGATGAGTAAACACTGTGAATGCACATATTTTTTAAAAGCTATTCCAGATAATTCTAAATGGTGTAGTATAGAAATTGTAAATAAGCATAACTATGCTATGGCTAAAAATATTTGGGTTTTTTATGAACATTGTCAATTGATATGAGATGCAAGACATATTGCTGTAAAAATGTTAAAAGCTGAAGCTAAGCCTAGTATATTTTATGAGGCTGTTAGAGATAAAGATGGAACACCAACTGTTACAAGAAAGAATATATCAAACTTAAGTACAAGAATTCATTCTTTAGAAGAAACAGCCTCAATAGAAGCACTAATAATAGGTATAAAGACAAAGAATATACTGTATAATGTGAAACTTATAAAGAGAAGTTTTTTTTTATATTTATTTTATTTTATTTTATTTTATTTTATTTTATTCTTATTCAAAAGTATTAATATTATATATTACTTAATATAGACAGATAAATTAAGCACCTATTTTTTTGTTATAAAGAATCAGTTAAAAATGCCAAACATTTTTTAGAGATAGTTTTAATTGATGTGACCTACAAAACAAATGTTTACAAATTGCTATTTGTAAACTTTGTTGGCATCAGTAATCTTGGAGTTAATTGTTTACAAACTTTTGGTATAGCTAGGGCTTGGATCTTTGATGAATCTTAAAAACTATATACTTGGATTATTAAACAATTTGAGTCTATAATTTTTTTTGATATTTTTTCTTACATGTTTGTTATTGACAATGAAGCTGCACTTATTAATGCTATTAGAAAGATATTTTCTAGATCCAAACACCTTTTATATACCTGGCATGTTCTAAATAATTTTAAAAAAAATTTAAGAAAGTATTTTAATGATGATTCATTTGATAAAATAATTAAAATTGTTAATAAGAGGTGTGGTGACTTAGTGAAGTGAATAAGTTGTCAACTCTCCAAGTGGTAGGTAGGAAATTCAAAACCTACTGACAGCAAAAATTTGGAAAACCACCTATGTATATCAGTACTACAGGCATCTGTGCAATGTTGAAATTACACAGAGGAATGCAAACTGGCAATGAGTAATGCAAACTCAAGATAAGTCCTTGTGTCTGGTACTATGACAACAGTAATCTTTTAATCAGTTGGGATTAGTACCTGTAACATAGTTACACCAGATAACTGGCAGGTCTTGAGGCATCTGTGCAATGTTGGAGTTACACAGAGGAATGCAAACTGGTATTGGGTAGTGCAAACTTAAGATAAGTCCTCATGACTGTATAAATCCATGAACTAAGAAAACTGAAGCCCACTTGGAAAGACCTGAGTAGAGAGGTAGCATGAATCTTTAACAGTACTACTGTAAAGGCTAAACCTAAGAAACAGATACTAATGTAAAAGGAATCAGGCAAGCAAGAACCTTGGATGAGGAGTACCACCAATCAGGCTACTGGAAGTCGTAAACCAGAGAAAAAAGACCTTGGAGAGGGACCCTAAGGTACTAGAAACAGGTCATAATTCTACTAGACTATCTGAATTGGGAGTCTAAGGTTAAAAACAGGTATATACTAAAGTACTAGGGATATGCTATAAAGTTAGTATTGGGATTTGAGTAAACTCTGCAAGAGTAAGCCCTGTTAACAAGATATTATTATAGGTAATTAGTTAGCAGAGAGGCCTCCTGAAGTTCTACAAGTCAGATGAAATACTCTGAAATATGTAACAACTTGATAAATGTATAGACAGGGAGGTTATGGTTAGGTTAGATGGCACTTCGGTATATAGAAACTTGTGTGCTATTTGTTAGTGTAAGTATAGGGATCAGAGTATTTAAATAGATAATCTTCTAGTTGATTGCAGGTATGGCAGCTAGTGTAAAACCTGCTGTGTGAACAGAATACTAAATTAAATAACTAAAAGTTGTATATGTGACTAGTTGTATACTCACCTTGTACAAGTTATGTAAGCATAATTAAAATACAATAAAGGCAATAGTCGCCAATAACTACAGCCTTAGTGAAAGCAAAACAAAAAACAAAAAAAAAAACAAATTGTTAATAGTTTCATTTATTCAAGAGATTGTAAAGTATTAGATGCTGCAATAACAGCTTATAATAAGTTGGTCTCATTAAGTTTAAATAAAAATAAAGTGTTAAAATACTTTGAAAAGTAAGTATTATATAGTGATAGTATTTTTAAAAAAATTTTTTTATATGCAAGATTTTTGTTTTTTGTTTGGTATTCATATTAAATTATCATTATAGATAATAATTGCTGATTTATTCATTACAGGCTCTACATTGTGTGAGTAGTGCTAGTCAACTCAATGTACTTTATTAAAATATGGATTTTATATTATTGTAATTAAGTTACAACTCACACCACTAATTGTGACATGTATCTTGGTAAATAATCAGTTAGTTATATGAATATTGCTAAGAAAAAACCTCGAGCTAGAAATTATAGTCAATTATTTATTAACTATAATTTTTCAGTTTGTGGTTTTCTCTTGCCAGCACTCATATATTATCTTTAACTAATAATAGTGTAGTATTTATAATTATTATTACTTAATAACTGCAGATTTCTAATAAATAATTTTTTTAAGAATGATGAAACTTAAAGAAAAATGCGTTAGCATTTATACAAGTAGAATTATGCACTTTGGTGTAACAACTATGCAATGTGTTGAAGGTATATATTTGACAATAAAGCATGCATTTAAAACTTTTGGAAGTTTAATAAGAGTGTTTAACTATTTGGATAGATGGTTACGTTTACATTACAAGGAGAATTCTTTACAAATAAAAGTAAAAGTGTTGGCAATGATCCTTTATTAGTGTATAATAACAAAGAATAACTGGCTTTACTCTTATAAAAAGTGACATGATTTGCTTTAAATAGAATTAAGAATAAACTTCTCAAAGTGACTATATATGAGATCTGTCTTTGTGAACTACACATTAATTATAATATATTTTGTAAACATTTGCTTCTAGCAAAGGCTCTTTAATGTTATCTATTATTCCAACAAGATAGCTACTATTTTCTGATGAAGACTGACTATATGCTAATCACCAAGTACAAAATTTAACTAATCTGCAAGTTTCTGATTCTGATAATTATTTTTTACTTAAGTCACAATTTTATGAAAGTGAAAATCATTATATGAGCTTCCTAGATAAACAGTAAGATCCACTTTTTTGAAAAAACTTAATAAGATTCTGACAGTTCCTGTAATTAACCTTTTTGAAATTGAAAAGTTTTTGAAAAAATTATAGGAAAAGGCCAACCTTTTGGAACAAAATAATTGCCAATTACTATAAAACTTATGGAACAAGCAGAAAAAAAGAAAAAAGTTAAAACTATTAAAAAAAAGCAAAACAATAGTGTTAATTTACCACAAAATATTTCTAGTAAAGGTAATGTAAATAATTTTATAATTATTATTTATTATTAGAAATTCTTAATTTTGCTAGTATATAAAACACAAATATAATTTGTTATTTAAATATAATATAAAATTTAAAGAACCAAATAAACTATATTAAAAATAGGTTAGGGTTGAAGTCAGCATATAGGTTATACTAAAATTTTATACTGATTTTTTTTATTAACATTAGAGACTGAAGAGTAGTTTCATAATCAAAATTTCAAGTTATTATATACAACCATGTTTCATACACCAGAATACAAATAGAAATTGTCTTATTATCATTTTATTTGATTTGTATTTTTTTTTTATTTATTTCAGAGGTTAAGATTTCAATTAAGTTTCAGGATTCCTGTTGATGATATAAATGAGGTTTATGATTTGAAAAGTAATGGTAATTGTAAATTTCGATCACTTGCGATTGCTATTAAAGGAAATAAAGAGAATTGGATTCTTGTAAAATTGGCTATGAGTAGTCAATTAACCAAGCATATGAAGATTTATAAAAACTGATTGGGTTATAATACTGATTTCCTTAATTAGATATTGAGATGCAGAGCATTGTCATGCTCACCTTCTCTTTGATTTCTATCTCCTAATTATACATAATTAACCGCTGATACATTTTCTGTTTCTATTGCCATTTTCAATAAGCAAAATGGACAAAGTATGCTATTTTTTCTATTAGAAGTGTCACCAATGCATAGAAAAAAATCCAATTATCTTACATTTTATTAATAACAACCATATTGTTTATGTAAATATAAGAAGTTATACAAGAATGAATTGACCAATGGTTAATGTACAACATGTTCCAATATGTCATAAACATGGTCTTGTTGACCATTGGTCAAAGCTATTCATATAATTTTATTTCATATAAACAATTACATTATGCATTCTTATAAGAATAAAGAATTTATTACTAAAACTTATATAAAAATGCATTAAAATTCATGTTAATAAAACAAAAAAAAAGAATTAAACTACTATTGTATGAAAGTGCAGAACAAGGTTATATTTTTTTAGATGTTACATATAATAAACACAGAGCAAAATTAGTTTATGATAAATAATTAAACCATCTTAATAGTTAATAACTTCCAGTTTTAATACTGGCTTCGTCTTCTGGTTGAGATCATGCTTGTTAATACTCTGGGTTAATAGATTAAAGAAACCTGTTTTTACATTCAAATAGATGTTAACTGAATGACTATATTAATAATTAATTTACATTTTACTGACTGGTTTAAAATAATCGAGGCTCTTATTGGTCGATCTTGTGCCGATAAACGGTATGTCACATGAATGTTGTGTCTGTAGCTTTCCCCAACCCCGGTTGAAATAGTTGTCGGTGAAATAAACTTGTCGGCGAATTGATTGTCGGTGAAATGATACGTACCCTAAAAGAGAACTTTGGTCATGCTTTCTTCAACTTTAAATGGTGGCCTATTGTATCCGTAAACAGCTTTTATGTTACTGAAGAAAGACTGACATAAAGTTAAAGTCCTCTAATAATCGCTCAAGAACAAATAGTGCTAATGCACCTATCGATACCGATTTAAAATAAACAGAGATCGCGAAAAGTATAAAATTACTTTCCGCGAAAATTGCGTCAATAGAGAAACAAATATCTGAAAATTCCGATCAATTCTCCATAAATTTAGAAACCTTGATGAAAGTTATTGGCAAATTAAGATTAACTCTCACTTAAAGCATGCATTGAAGAATAATCTTATTTTTTCTTCCAGTAATTTTTGAATTTATATTTAGATATTGTAATTGTAGATTGGCCAAAAAGTATTGTGAATATATTCATCTTAGTTACTTTTCGGCTATGAAACATGACATTTAATCAAGATGTTGGAAAATTACGGCTTACTCATTAATTGAACAATTTCATTAAGCAATTTCTTTGGAAAGACGTCAATCTTCAAATAAACCCATCATCATCATCTACTGTTATTTTAAGTCAATTTAACCTCTTTTTAAATGAAGCTGAAATGTTTATAAAAAATTATTAAACCTTATTTCTGAAGATTCGAAATTTAGTTATAAGAATTTGGAGAGCAATAAACCTCCAAGGTGGATACGTTGTATAGGTTGTTTGGGGGGACATTGCTAGATATCATTGGTCATATTGCTCGGAAGATCAAGAAAAGAATGAACAATTCCGGGCAGAAAATGCATCTCGATGGTATCGTTTAGGGCAGGCCTACTGAATAATTGATTGTGAGGGCAATTAATTGCAATTTTTTTAACTCAATTAATTGATTGGTGGTGCAGTCATGATGAGTCAATTAATTGTAATTTTTGTGTGATGAATTATTTGCATGACAAATAAGAGTTCAATAATACGTTTTATTAGTAAATAAGTAGCTGCGCAACGTTTTCGCTCGAAACCAGGAATGGGGGAAATCTACGCAGACTCCATTTCAGTCACGGGAAACCATATTCTTCATTGCAATCCATTCCTGGTATAAGAAAATG